CTACTTCCGTAGTGATACTGCCTCGGAAACCCAAGGAGGGGTCGCTATGAGTCGGGGCCGACTCGATGGCAAACAACAACAACAACAACTATTACTTAATTGGAGTCCCTGGATGACCCTTAGCTATTAATGGAAAGGTTGGTGGTTCGAGTGCCCAGAGGCACCTCGGAAGAAAGGCTGGCAATCAACTTCTACAGAACCAGTCTTTGAAAACCGTATGGAGCACAGTCCTAGTCGGATTTACACGGGCTTGCCATGAGTCAGAATTTACTCAATGGCAAGTGATTTAGTATTTATCTATGTATTTATTTTTGGTTATTTAATCTTGGGACTCAGTTTTCTCATCTAAAATGGGAATAACAATGTCTAACTTTCAGGCATTAAATGAGATCATGTCAATATATTTACCTTAATATGTGGTGAAGGCTGTGACAGTTCTTATAACAAATTCTGCTCTACAGACTTATCTCTCGTACATGATTGTAAACTCCTGGAGGGCAGGAAGATTGCCTTCTCGACTTGAATAACAGCCACTCCCTTCTTGCTGCTCCTTTCAGATGTTGCAGTGGCCGCCCCTTACGGAGGTCCCAGTGGCAGGGGCCAAGTGCTGGTGTTCCAGGGTCAGAGTGAGGGCCTGAGCTCACGCCCATCCCAGGTCCTGGAAAGCCCCTTCCCCAAAGGCTCTGGCTTTGGCTTCTCCCTGCGAGGTGCCACAGACATCGATGACAACGGATATCCAGGTGCCCCTGAATCATTTCCAGCTGGGCAAGAAGGGTTCATGGGCGTTAGCTGCCAGTGCTAAGAGACGCAGCCGGGGAGTTCCATGCCTAGCTGGTGCTCCACTGAGGGCTTTGACCCATTTGTTATGGGATATCAGATCAAACCTCCAATGGAGGAGGTGGTATGAGGGGCCCCTGGGAAGATGAGGTGAGGACCCCATGCCCTGTCTAACTGCCAATCCTGATCCCACTCCCAATGTCTATAGACCTACTGGTGGGAGCTTATGGGGCCAGCAAGGTGGCTGTGTACAGGTAAATGTTGGCTCCCAGGGACTGGGTGGAGAGGGTCCCCAGCATGTGGCAGCCCACAGCATCAGGGATGCCAGTCCAGGAGGGGCCACAATGGCAGGTCTTCTGCATCCCATCAGAGCTCAGCCTGTGGTGATGGCCAGTGTCCAGCTGCTGGTACAAGATTCACTGAATCCTGCTGTGAAGAACTGTACTCTGCCCCACACCAACACAACAGTGAGCTGGTGAGGAGGCAGAGGGCAGGCCCAGGCAGGACGAGAGTCCTCAGGGGTGCCTCTAGCCCCTAAGCTCCACTTGCTTCTTTGCAGCTTCAACATCTACATGTGTGTGGGAGCCACTGGGTACAACATTCCTCAAAAGCTGCGTGAGTGGCATGGCCAGACAGCAAGAAGGAGGGACTGGGCTCCCCTGGAGGTTGTCCAGGGAGGCCTTGACCTTCCACTTGCCCTGCCAGGCCTGAATGCTGAGCTGCAGCTGGACCGGCAGAAGCCACGCCAGGGCCGGCGGGTGCTGCTTCTGGGCTCTCAGCAAGCCAGCACCACCCTGCACCTGGACCTGGGCGGGAGGCACAGCCCTGTCTGCCACACTGCCCAGGCTTTCCTGCGAGTATGCCCAGGCTGGGGAGGGGTGGGTGCTGTGGCTCCAGTGGTGGTCAGCGGGACCTGGTCCCTGCTGACCACAAGAGGGTGGAATGTGCATAGCAGCAAGATGGCCTGGCTCTTATCTCCCTCCCCAGGATGAGGCCGACTTCCGGGACAAGCTGAGCCCCATTGTGCTCAGTCTCAACTTGTCCCTGCAGCCTGACAAGGCTGGATTGACCCCTGCCCTTGTGCTGCATGGAGACACCCACGTCCAGAAGCAGGTGGGGATGGGTGAGGACAGGCAAAGGAGGTGTAGTACGTCTGCTAGAAAGTCAGGGTGAGGGTTAGTGCATGAAATGTAATATGAACCCTTAAACCTTGATGTCACCTTTAATCTCTGATGGCAATCTAAACCCTATGAAAACCCTCAAATCTCAATATCCTTTGTGCCCTGACGCGAGCTCCGAGTGCTGGCGTGACAAAATTCGATGGCAGCCTCAGACAAACCCTGACATCATCCCAAACCCTGATGGAAATCCAAAAGCCCTGATGTCATCCCCAATCTCCTTTTCATCCTCAGATCTTATTCTCTAACCGCTGATATGAATCCAGCTCAGTGTTGTTTTCTTAGCGCAGATGTGACTAGAAACCTCACTGGCCCCAAGCTTACCCATATACCCTGATGTGCCCCTCTAGACTCGCATCATCCTGGATTGTGGGGAGGACGACCTGTGTGTGCCCCAGCTTCAGCTCACTGCCGAAGTGTGAGGAGACCCCCATACTACCCAGTCCTGGCCCACCCTGCCCCAACGATGCCCCCTTTCCACCTGCATCGTAATACTTTGTCCTCAGACCCCCTCTTCCCCTTAGACCCTGAGTCTGGCCTGGGTATCCTGGGCTTTATTCCTTTCCCTCCATAGGAGGGGCTCCCCACTCCTGATTGGGGCTGACAATGTGCTGGAACTGTGGGTGGACGCTGCCAATGAAGGCGAGGGGGCCTATGAGGCTGAGCTGACTACTCACCTGCCTCCAGGTGCCCACTACATGCGGGCCCTCAGCAACATTCAGGTGAGGCCCCACCATGGGGGCACTACCAGGCCCTGGGAGGTGTAGGATCCTTGACTCCCACTTCTCTTAAGCTTTGCTATAAAAGCTATATGTATGTTGTTGTGTTGTTGTTGTTATGTGCTGTCGAGTCGGACTACGGAAGTAGGATTGCCCAACCTGCCTTCCGAGGAGTGGCTGGTGGGTTTGAACCACCAGCCTTCTGGTTAGCAGTCAAGTGCCTTAGCCACTATGCTACCATATGTATACACACACATATATATTTTTTTTTTTTCTATGAAATGAGTATTTGCTAATGGTATGCAATTGAGAAACTATAGTATAAAACCAAAACTAAAAAGTAACTCAGGAACCAAGTGTTAACAGGAACCTCTGTTGACATTTGGTGGCTTTCCTTCCAGTCTTTTTTCCTTGACATTGGCAAACCTTTACATATGTACATGTTTATTTTTAATTTTTTAAAAACAATGGGGTCATACTCTATGTACTGTTTTGCGTGTTTCGTTTCCAAAATGAAAATTCGTTCAAAGAATGGTAAATGGCTACTGCAATACATGAAGTAAAACAAGACAGCCCTTGAACTCCCAGCCCAAGAGGCCCCCTTCCCCAGCCCAGTGTGCGGATCTGTGCGGACTTTCCAAAGGAGTGTAAACATATGTGGGGTGCTCTGTAACTATCTTCTTTATGGGAACTGCCTCCCAAAGGGGTTTGAAAGACTCATCTGTAACCAGAAGAAGGAGAACGAGAGCAAGGTGGTGCTGTGTGAGCTGGGCAACCCCCTGAAGAATGATGCCCGGGTGAGAACGGGAGTCCTGGGCTGGGTCTTCTCTACCAGGCACTTGTTGACAGATGGCAAGGTTTTAGGGGTTGGGTTTGGGAGTCAGCATGCTCTGGGTGGGATTCCTGGTCTTCACAGCCCCTAACTGCATGTTCTTAAGTGAGTGACATCCTCCTGAGTGGGCTGCTAGGTAAAATGGATAATAATAATGACCTTGGATGGTAAGGACTGGAGACCATTTTCCAGATAGGGTTGCCCAGAGGTGGCATTTGGGCAGTAACTTTGGCTCTTCCCGTTTTCCAGATAGGAATCACCATGTTGGTGAGTGTGGGGAACCTGGAAGAGGCTGGAGAGTATGTGACCTTCCAGCTGCAGATCAAGAGGTACTGGACTGGGGAGCAGTCCCACCTACCCGCCTCCCTTTCCTGAGCCTGCTATAGAGCCCCTCAGATGTTCTCAAAACAGAAGAGTCTTTTTGAGATGCCTGTTCTTCAGGCCTCCTTGTTCCCCTTCTTTCTCAGACACTTGTTTCTAAGTCTTGGAGTCCTGGAGAAAGTTCTTCCCCAGGTCTAACCTCAGTGTGGCATGCTGTCTGTAGAGTTAGCTTATCCTGAACCCCCTGAAAGGAGCTCTGGTGGCATAGTAATTAAAGCATTCAGCTGCTAACCAGAAGATCAGTGGTTCAAACCCACCAGCCATTCCACAGAAGAAAGATGAGGCAGTCTGCTTCTGTAAAGATTTATAGATTTGGAAACCTTATGGGGCAGTTCTACTCTGTCCTATAGGGTCGGCATGGACTAGTTGACACTGTGTGTGTCTGTGTGTATGTCGCCCCTGAAATTCTGCCCCAGGTTACTGTCCTCATCTGCCTCCCCTCACACCCTCCCCTCCAGCAAGAACAGCCAGAATCCAAACAGTCAAGTGGTGCTGCTGCATGTGCCAGTCCAGGCAGAGGCCCAAGTGGAGCTGCGAGGGTGAGAACCTCTGGGTGGATAAGGGAGCTAGCAGGTAGGGCCCTGAGGTCCAGGTGGCCTTGGGAGAGCCCTCAAAGTCCAATCGGGGGGTCAAGCTCACCCCTGGGGACTTGGGGACCTGCAGGAACTCCTTTCCAGCCTCCCTGGTGGTGGCAGCTGAAGGTGACAGGGAGGAGAAAAGCTCAGACAGCTGGGGCCCCAAAGTGGAGCACACCTATGAGGTGAGGAGGGCTCCAGGTGGGGGTGGGACGGCCCCAGGAGCTGAGGCTGGGTGCTGAGCCACTGGACATCCTGCCACCGAATCCCCCTCCCCAGCTCCACAACAAAGGCCCTGGTGCTGTCAGCGGCCTGCACCTCAGCCTGCACCTCCCCGGCCAGTCCCAGTCCTGGGACCTGCTCTATATCCTGGACGTGCAGGCCCAGGGGGGGCTCCAGTGTTCTCCAGAGCCATCCCCTAACCCCTTCAAGGTAAGAGCCACAGTGGAAGAAAGCTGTTGGGAGTCCCCAGGTCAATAACCAGGGTACCTCGGCCATGAGAGCTGGGCACACATGGGCCTAACCAGTTCTTTGCCTCTCCAGCTGGACTGGAAGCTGCCCACCCCCAGCCCATCCCCAGTTTACCCAGCCCATAGAAAGCGGGAGCGTAGACAGGCGCTCTGGCCAGGCTCGCAGCAGCCCTCAGGGCTCCAGGACCCAGTTCTAGTGGTAAGAAGGCTGTGGGGCCCAGGGGCAGAGGGATGGGGGCTGGAGAGGGCCTCCTGTGGGCCATACCCACCTGAGCACTGCAAGGGCAGGAAGATGAGGGATTATGCTGGGCTTGTGTCAGGGGTGGGATGGGGGGCACTTGCATTTTTTAAGGTTCCCAATACATTGTTGTTGTTGTTGTTATGTGCCGTCGAGTCGGCCCCGACTCATAGCGACCCCTCCTTGGGTTTCCCAGGCAGTATCACTACGGAAGTAGGATTGCGCAACCTTCCTTCCCAGGAGTGGTTGGTGGGTTTGAACCGCCAGCCTTCTGGTTAGCAGACAAGTGCTTTAGCCACTATGCTACCAGAGCTCCTATCCACTCCATAGGAGATAGTAAGACATTAAATGTGACAGTGTCAAAAAAGTGCAGGCATACAGTCTGTGCCAGGCAAATGTCTCTTAAATGTCAACTCTGGTCACTCTAAGGGCCACTGTATAGACCCGAGAGAGACTGAAACATTGGAAATGAGTACAACATCAGAGGGAGGCTGGGGAGCAGTCAAGGGCTTTAGCCACTATGCTACCAGAGCTCCCAATACATTAGAGGGGGGGGGGGAATGAATATATATCAGAGCAGGCTTACACACCAAACCCATCACCATCGAATTGATTTTCAACACATAGTGACTCAGTAGGACAGAGGAGAACTACCCCGTGGGGTTTTCAAGGCTGTAATCCTTAAGGAAGCCAACTGCCACATCTTTTTCCTGAGGAGCGGCTGGTGGGTTTGAACCGCGGTTTGCCAGCCCAGCGATTAACCACCGAGCTACCAGGGCTCTTCAGGGTTACCAAAGTTCTGAGTATTAAATGCATGACCCCACTTCTCGCTGCCTTCTCCCTGCATCCCCCGGACTGTGAGCAACCTTGTTTACCGACAAAGTCTGAAGCTTGAATCCGATGACCTTCCTGAGGGGGAGGCCCGAGCTCCCTGGCCCCCGGGTCACCCTCTGGGGTGGGTCCTGTGCCTGAGGGGCTGATGGGTCAGGAGGGGCTGGAGACTGATGACGCACCCCCTCAGGACTGCAACTCCTCGGCGCCCTGTACTGAAGTGCGGTGTGAGCTACAGGAGATGGCGCGCGGGCAGCGGGCCACGGTTACCGTGTTGGCTCTCCTGTGGCTGCCCAGCCTTCGCCAGGTGGAGCAGAACGCGGTCGGGAAAGGGTGGGGCTTCTTGTAGGCGAGGCAGGGAGGGCAGGGAGAGGCGAGGTTTGCTCTGGAGAAGCGGGGCTTCAGGGAGGAGGTAACTAGGTAAGGGCTTGGTGCAGTTTGGCTGGAGGTGGGGTTAGCCTAGGAGCAGGGCTCCCCAAGGAGGAGGCAACTCTTTGGACTCTTTCAACCAGTAGGCCTCGTGGAGGAATAAATGGCTCTTACCCTCAACCTTATCCAGAGGCCGCTGGATCAGTTTATCCTGCAGTCCCGTGCTTCGTTCAACGTATCTGCCCTTCCCTACACGGTGCCTGCCCTCAGCCTGCCCAGCGGCAAAGAGCTAGTGAGTACCAGGGATGGTGGCAGAAGAACTGAGGCTTGCAGGAAGAATCATTGGTCTGCCCATGTGGCAGTGCCCAGCCAGAATGGAGGCAAGGCCTCCCTGGGTCTGAAGGGTGGTACAAGTGGATGGCTTGGCTGGCATCACCAGTCCGTGGGTTCCAGTTTTGGCGTGGGTGCCATCACAGGGGCTGAGGGGTTCCTTCCAGGTGCAGACGCAGGTGCTTCGAGTCTTGGAGGAGAGAGACATTCCTCTCTGGTGGATTCTGGTAGGCGTGATGGGTGGTTTGCTGCTGCTCACCCTCCTGGTCCTGGCCATGTGGAAGGTGAGGGACGAAGGCGGGTAAGGGGTGGCCAGGTGGATATAGTCTTGGCCCTGTCCTACCTCACAGACAAGCAGAGAGAGTTGGTGGCCCAAGTGGGTAACCCAGGGCCCATCCCATCTGCATCTCCACTTTTAGAATATCATTCTCCCTGCAGGGCACACACCCCTGGGCAAAGGTGGCATCTCAAGCCCTAAGGCCTATAGATCTTTTCCTCCCTGATACAGAGCTCTGGTGGTGCAGTAGTTAAGTGCTTGGCTGCTAACCAAAATGTTGGCGATTTGATCCCACCAGTGCTACTCCTTGGGAGAAAGATGTACAGTCTGCTTCTATAAAGATCACAGCCTTGGAAACCCTACGGGGCAGTTCTACCCTGTGCTATTGGGTCACTATGAATTTTGGGGTTCTCCCTAAGATGAAGAGCCCAGGGAATGAGTCTAGCCTTCAGGAAAGTTCACGTCCTCCCAGCTCTGTCCTCTCCCCTGACTAGGATGGGGGACCCAGGTGCTGATCTAGATCCTGTTCCTCACTCCTTGCAAAGCCCTGGGGCTCAATCCCCCTTGTACCTGGACAACAAATAGAACACATCTGAAGCTCATGTGCTCTCAGACTTGCTCAGGTGCCCAGGCCCTTGGAAGCCGGGGTCCTTTGAGGGGAAACCACACATTAAACTTTATTATAAGCAAATACGTATCATCGTATGCTTCTTGTTGTTGTTGTTATGTACCGTCGAGTCAGACCCGACTCATAGCAACCCCTCCTTGGGTTTCCGAGGCAGTATCACTATGGAAGTAGATCGCCCAACCTTCCTTCCAAGGAGTGGCTGGTAGGTTTGAACTGCCAGCCTTCTGGTTAGCGGTCGAGTGCCTTAGGCACTGTGCTACCAGAGCTCCTATCACCATATGCTAGAGTCATGGATTTAAGAAAATTCTAAATCTGTACTTAGAAAAGTTCAAGGGAGAGAAGAAAAAACTATACACAGTTACACACGCTCTCTAAATAGGGAGATGCTTCCGTGTGTGAAGCTGTGGGGTCCTCTGGGCCGGTCCTGGGAAGGACCTCACACTGGCCGCTTTCTAGCACACCTTCCCCAGGTAGGGCAGCCCTCTGGGGCCGAAGGATTGGTTCCACACCCTGACCACAACCCCTCTGTCCATAGGCCGGCTTCTTCAAGCGGAATCGCCCTCCCCTGGAGGAGGACGATGAGGAGGAGGACGATGAGGAGCAGGAGTGACGGTGCTACACACACACACACACACACAAACCGTTCCAGCAGCAAGGCGATGTGGTACCCACTCCGCCCTTTCCTCCGCCCTTTCCTCTCCACTGAGTGTCCCCCAGCTCTGAATACCCACAAAGTGGACCTGTTCCAAGGAGGCCTCCTGGTGTCCTCCCCCTCCCTTACAGAGCCAGGCCACCTCCTTTCCTGCTGCCTAATAAAGGGGTTGAGTTCCCATTCTCCAAGCCAGTGTGCTGCCTCCTTTTGGGGTCAGAGGAGGGGAGGGGGCACCAAAGGAGTGTCCACGGTAGGGAGCTAGGGGTGGTGGGAGTATGAGCAGAGAGGGTCTGAGCCACGGTAAAGTCTGTCTTGCTGTCTTTTGGGGGTGTCAGGGCATAAAGAGTGGGGGGGTGGCAGATGTGAGAGGAACAAGGGATAAAGGGTGACAAGGTGAGGCTGGAGGCAGCAGGGGAGAACTGCTGGAGGGTTTTGAGGGAAGGGAGGATGGGGTAGGAGCCCTGGTGGCACAATGGTTAAGCTCTCAGCTGCTAACTGAAAGACCATTGGTTTGAACCCACCAGCAGCTCCATGGAAGAAAAGACCTGGCAATCTGCTCCTGTAAAGAGTGCAGCCTAGAAACTATGGGGCAGTTCTATTCCATCCTACAGGGTCACTGTGAGTCTGAATCAACAGCACACAACACAATGGGATGGGGTTGAAGGCATCAGAGAAGGAGACTGGATCATTTGTGGATAGCTTTAAACCATTATTTCCTGATGTTGGAAGGGTAAACCCCAAAATGACCAACGGCCAGGGGAAATCACACACACCCTAAAAAAAAAAAAAAAAAAAAACAAGCCCTTTACAGCTGGTTTCCACAACCCGTATGTCACTTTGTCCTACTGGGATGTCTGCATGTTGTCATGATGCTGAAAGCTAAACTGCCAGTATTTCAAATATCAGCATGTTCACCCATGGTGGACAGGTTTCAACAGAGCTTCCAGACAAGGACAGACTAGGAAGAAAGGCCTGGCAATCTATTTCCAAAAATTAGCCAATGAAAACCTTCGAGATCACAATAAAATTGTTGTTGTTATGTGCTGTCAAGTCCGACCTAACTCATAGTGACCCCTCCTTGGGTTTCCGAGGCAGTATCACTACGGAAGTAGATTGCCCCATCTTTCCTTCTGAGGAAGCAGTCAAGTGCTTTAGGCACTACGCTACCAGAGCTCCTCACAATAGAATAGTGTCCATTATAGTGCTGGAAGATGAGCCCCCTAGGTTAGCAATGCAAACACAATGCATTGCCATCGAGTCAGCTCCAACTCATAGTGACCCTTCCTTGGGTTTCTGAGGCGATATCACTACGGAAGTAGATTGCCCAACCTTCCTTCCAAGGAGTGGCTGGTGGGTTTGAACTGCCAGCCTTCCGGTTAGCAGTCAAATGCCTTAGGCACTACGCTACCAGAACTCTCACTCAAAATACACAGTGGCTGTATTCACAATGAATTCAGACACAGCAACGAATATGAAAATGGTGCAGGACTGGGCCACATTCCATGCTGTTGTACATGAGTTTATCAATTGGGGCTGACTTAATGGCAACCAACAACAGCAAAGCTGGATTCAGAGTGAGGAGTGGGCAGGAGGAGGCTGGCTAAGCTCTCAGCCCAGGGAAGGCAGCACCATGCCAGGAGGAGAACAAGTATTGCTCTCAGGCCACCCTGCTGCTGTTCTTTCTTCCCCACCAAGGACAAGGGGCGTCAGGAAAAAGGCCACCAGGCAGGGAGCACTCAGGAGATCCAGGAGTGAGGAGTGGATGATGGCTCTCCAACTGTAGTGCTTGGGGTTGAGGAAAGAGGTGGGGGGAACCCACCTGGAGTCCTGACAGAGTCTTTGATTCATTTGTTCAATAAATATTTATTGAGCCCCTACCATGTGTCTGGCACTAGTCCAGGTGTGGGGCTGGAACAGCGAACAAAGTCCTCATCCTCATGGAACTTATATTCACCTGGGAGTAGAGAGAAAATAAATATGTAAATATATGGTCAGCGGCCATCAGTGCTATGAGTAAATACCAAGGTAAGGGGATAGAAAGTGATAGAAGGTATGTGGGCTGTTAGGTAGGGTGACCAGGGAAGGTCTCTGATGAGGTGAACAGAGACATGAATGAGCCATGTGGACGCTTGGGGATAAAGTGTTCCACACAGGATAACCAGGGCAAAGCCCCCAAGGTGGGAGCTGGCTTGGTGTGTTCAAGTAAAAGCATGGAGGTCCATGTGGCTGGAGGTGGGTGGGTGAAGGATCCAGAAGATGAGGTCAGAGAGGTAGCCCTGGGCCAGGCATGCAGCACCTGGTGGCCATGGGGAACTCTGGACTTGATGCTACACATTGTGTTGGGAGATGCCATTGATGAACAGATTTACCTCCCAAGAGCTGCAGTACCCAAAGAGGTAAAAGGTAAATTCTGAAAAGAACAGAATAATTTGACCTCCATGCCTGGCAAGTTCCTGAACAGGTTTCTAGTTGGGTGACTGTGACCATGCAGGAAAATATTAAGCTGTGATCCTTGAACATCAGCCAAATTACTGACCCCCAAACACCACCATTGTAATTGAATGGTCCCTGCCAACATATCTTGAGCCAGCAAGGCATTTATCATTTGTTTTTAACAGACAAGACAGAAATGTGAGCTGGAGGATAGAGACTTGGATTTAGATCGGATGCATTTGGATAAAGCTGAAGATCTCCACAGGGGTGTCCCAAAGCTCCCTCCTGGCTCTGGGCTGCCTGGCATTGTTGTGACCCTCCAATGGAAGGAGAGGAAGCCACTCCTTTCCCTGCAGATGGTTGTTGGCTGGGAGGAAGCTCCAACACAATGGGTAACTGAAGCAGATTCAAGGCAGCCTGGACAGATTGTAAAGTTGGGTGGAAACCAACAAGATGAAACTCACCAGGGATGAGTGCAAAGTCCTGTGTTGAGCTTCCAAAAAATTGGTTACATAAGCATTAAAAAAAAAAAAAGAAAAGAAAAGAAAACCAAACTCTACTGCTGTTGAGTCGGATCCGACTCATACCAACCTCTCCTTGGGTTTCCAAGGCGGTATCCTTATGGAAGAGTGGCTGGTACATAAGAATAGGACTGGGAAATCCGGTTAGATGGATATCTCTGTTAAAAGGAAAAGAAAAAATGTGGTGGTTTTGTCCACAAGCTCATAATGAGGTCTTCTTAAGGAAGAAGACCCAGCCAGGGGTCCTGACCAGGAGGGAAGCCTGCTGTCCGCTGAGGGGCCAGGACCCCATCCTGGGTATCCAGTCCCCTCTCTTGGGCGCCAAAGGAAAGAGAAGGTGACAAGTCAGTGAGAACCAGGAGAGACTAGATGAGGATTCGGCCATGTCAGAGCTGAGTGTTGATGACAACCAGAAATACTGAGCTGGAAGAAAAGAGAACTGGACTGGGGTGGAACAGGCCAATAGCTGTCCTCAGATGTAGGGTTCAATGGCTGAGGAAGAAGGAAAACATTCGGTTTGTTGTTCATTAAGCCCAAACAAGCGGCACCAATGGGTGATTCTCTGTGGGGGAGGATGAAGTTTGCGTTGACCTCTGGAAGGTTAATTGACAGCAATTGATCTGGTTACCTGGGCCAGATAAACCTCACCTCATCCTAGACCAACAATAGCGCCATTTATTGTGGTCCTGCCCTGGTCAGGTATGTGCTAAAATTTTTACATCTATTACATTTAATGCTATGACCACCCCATGAGGCAGAAATTATTAAATCAGCACGTTAATGGGAAGATGAGGAGGACCAGAAGGCCAAGGAACTTGTCCACGGCTTAAACAAGAGGCAGACGCTAGACAAAAATCCAGGTCTGACCGATTCCCAGCGGAGTGCGTGCTACCTCCTCAAACTGCGTGCTGGAGATTGTGTGGAGAGATGAGGAGTAGACCAGGGAATCCTTACGGTCTTTTTCAGACGCTCATGAACACTGTATACTTTTGAAGTATCTGCTTTAACAGTTCGCCTTTCTTCCCCCGACAATTTCAGGGGCTCTAGAACTCCAAGAACCCCTGGGATTATACCCTTATCTCGACACTCTTTTGCGGCGAGCGTCTGAGAGCTGAGTTTGGGGCGGCGGGGAATGTGAGTGCCAAGAATCGGGGGCTGCAGGAAGGGATGGCGGCTGGGGTCTTGGGGGCGGGAGCGCTGGAGGTGGCGGGCGGAACCGGGCCGGGAGGGGGCGGTGCCGGGAGGCCCGCGATGCGGGGC